TAGGTATTGAAATGTACATATTAACTTAGTGGTCTATTGGCATAGACATTCGAGCTAAGTGTAGCTTAGTCCCATTTAGACCCTTTAATCCTTTTAAATGTTTAAGTATAATTGCCTTAACAGTTTCTTCTATATGCATTGAATACCACATCAAATGCTGTTCCAATTTGTGTTTCAACCAGATGCAACATGATTAAGGAACTCAGGAGTTTAGTCTGTTATATTTATCCCTATTTTTGCCTATTCCAATATTCTTTCCTTTTTAACATTCTAAGTTTTCTTTTAAGGGAATTGTTGTTTGCTTTTAATCACTAGGACCCTGTCAGGAAAGGGCACATGACTCTTTTCTTCTGACTCTTCTCTCTCTTTAAATTCATCATGCTCAGTTCAAAGGATTGAAATTAATTTTTTTTCTAAAAGTTGGAAGCCACGACTACAATACAATAGTGTCCTTGGATGTTCTGGGCACTGTGACCTTGTAGAATTATCTGCACTCTCTGAGCTAGAACTGATAAGCCAGATATGTCTGCAGCATCTTGGAGAATGTAAGTTCCATATGAGAGCATAATCCCTCAATAGAGGGATATAGAATCAACTTTCATAGAACTCTGTAATCTAATAAACTATAAGAATCAGGGGAAACTTGTTGGAGAAGCTCCTGCATTGCACTAAAAGAATTCTGTAGTGTTTTAAATTGCCAGCCACCATCCACCACATGCCAAATTGACCCGGGAATTTTGCCAGAAGGAATATTATGGATTTTTTCTCAAAGAACTGTGCCTGTGGGTCTTGACTTATCTGGCAGCTCACTTGAGGATTGCCACAAAGAACTCTTTTTGTTTTGTCTGACCAGATCCTTTCCAGGAGTGGAGAGGCTTTTGCCAAAAATATTTAAAGACTGAGATATTAGCCACAAGGGCCAGGACAATACTCTGGACAAACAATAAAGAGAATGAGAAACCTGGGAGGAAATGGCTGGAAAAGAAGGTGCATGGGATGAATAAGGGCTTTTTAAAGTTCCCTGATATACAGGGGAATTGAAAAGGCCACAGATATTCTCAGGACAGGATACATGTGCTTTAAAGGCCTGAAGAGACCCAAAGCTTTCACCTCTGGCTGATCTTTGGATTCTGTGCAAGCAGAAAGCGAAAACTAACACAGCGTTGCAGACTGGCCTAGTTAAGCACTGAACACGCTGCCCAGCATAGAGCCAATCTGCAAAGATGGGCAGAGAATGTTTTCTTCTTTTTGTTCTTTTATTGGCTCCAAGTATTTAAAGTAACTTGTCAAAACACCAGCTGAACATTAAACTGACAGCTCAGACTTCAGTGGACATACATAATAAAAAATACAGACTTTGCAAAGATAGTTTGCAAAAGTCACTATATATAACAACAGCCCACAATAGCCAGCAACAACAAATCTAGGGGAGAGGGAAAAATAAAATTCCCAAGATGTCATGGTATAATACTCAAAATACCCAGTTCCTGAAAACAAAAAAAAAAGTACGAGACATGCAAAGAAAGTTTCACCTATTCACAGTAAAAAAAAAAAAAAAAAAAAAAAGCAAAATAAACTGTCCCTGAGGATGCCCAGACTTGGAACTTAATAGGCAAAGACTTTAAATAAACTGTCTTTTATATGCTGAAAGCACTAAGGGAAATCATGGACAAAGAACTAAAAAAACAGGAGAATAATGTCTCATCAAATAAGGACTATTGATAAACAGGAAGAAATGACCCAAAGGAACCAGTAGAAATTCTGGAGCTGAACAGTATAGTAGTTGAAATTAAAAATTCAAGAATAAAAAGGCTCCACATCAGAGGTGAACAGACAGAAGGAAGAATCAGGGCACTTTTAGAAAGGTCCATTGAAATGATCCAGTCTAAAGAGCAGAAAGAGAAAGCATGAAGAAATGATAACACAAAAGACATGTGGACACCATCAAATGTACTAACAACCACATATGGGAGCCTAAGGCAGGGGGAGAAATGATGAGCAAAATTTTAAAATTTAAAGAAGTCTGGGGCCTCCCTGGTGGCACAAGGGGTTAGGACGCAACCTATGAGGCTGTCTGTAGCCACTGCAGCACGAGTTCGATTCCCGGCCAGGGAGCTTCCCACATGGCGCAGCAGACCTCTCCTGTCTCACCCACTGCTCCCCTCAGTAGTGTTTTTCAGTCAGTGTGCCTGTTCTCCCCACTCTGTCACTGGTGAATCCTCTCACCCTCCCATGCATCTGGCCTATACCCCGGTTCTTGTATAAATAAAATAAATCTTTAAAAAAAAAGAAGCAAAAAAGTTTTTGACACTCAATTCCAGTGTTTATGTTGGGGGGGCGGGGATTCCGCACCAACTATCAATTCTCAAAACACCAGGTGGATGTCCTACAATTCAACTCAATTCTGACACTATCTACTTGGAGAGAGCCATCAAATTCCACGGGTTAAGGGCTCAGTTCCACAAATTTCCTAGTGGCTTCAGATGCCAATCTCAAGCCCAGGTTAGTAACTGTGTTTCTGATGACTGGCTATGTAAACCAGACGTTCCCATGATCTCCTCCTTGGAATCGATTAATTTGCTAGAATGGTTCACATAACTACTATTAGACTACTGATTTATAAAATATATTAGAAGATACAAGGCATCATCCAGATGAAGAGATACATAGCACAAGGTTGCAAACAAAGGAATTTCTCTCCTTGTGGAGTTTGGGGCCCAGAATGGTGGCATGTGGTTCCGGTTCCTTAATCTGAAAGTTCTCCAAAACCTTTTGGATTATATAGAGGCTTCATTGCATAGTCATGATTGATCAAATCATTGGCTATTAGCAATTCACTTAACCATCAGTGCCACGCCCCTTCCCAGGGGTTGGCGGTGACCATCCTTAGGTGTTTTTCAAGTTACCTCATTAAAGCAATTAGACACCCTTATGGCTCTTATTGCAGAAAATTCCAAGGATTTGAGGAACTCTGTGCCACAAAAGGGATCGAAGATCAAATACATAATTTTTCTTATAAATCATAATATCACAGATGTATATATTAATGATGACACAACCGAGATCCAAGGGAGACTATAAGGAGGAAGACTTTTATTAACAAATATATTGAAAGTATAACAAGGGATGTTCAGACTGCCTAACCTGACTCTTTCTTGTGCCCAAGACACTGTGTTATGTGTTACTGAACTTTTAACTTTTAAATAGGCTGTTAACTGACTGACAAGAAAAGGTTTCTAGCTAGACACCGTCTTTCCCAAGAACTGTGCATATATAATCTTTTTTTGGGCCTCCCGGGTGTCACAGCAGGTGGAATGCAGCCCTGTGAAGCTGTCCTGGCCAGCCAGGGAGATTCCCACATGGTGAGGCAGACCTCTCCTGTCTAGCCCACTGCTCCCCTCAGCAGTGTTTCGGTCCTTCTGCCTGTTGTGTTCCCCACTCTGTCTCTGCTGAATCCTCTCACCCTCCCACAACTCTGGCCTGTACCCCAGGTCTTGCACAAATAAAAAAAATAAGCTTTTTTCCTTTTCTTGTCTTCACAGTAATCAGGGTCAGTTTGAGTAAAAGTCAATGAAACCTAAGAACTGCAATCTAAAAGCAATCCTAGTTTTTGCAATTCTATCCTTCCCCTATTTTTTCCCTTTAAAATCTCCTTAAACATCTCAGGAGGACATAATGTGAACTGATCCTGAATTTGTCCTCCCTGATTTGGAAATCTAAAATCCCCTCCCCCTCCCCCAAACAGACACTAAAATTTTATTTTAGCCTTGTATTGTTTTTCTCAGTCTACCAGGGAAATGTTTGTTTTATTGTTCTTTATTGAGGTGACACTGGAATGGTATTGAGGTAACATTCCTCAGATGTATGTTACCACATCATCCCCGCCATCAAAGCACCCATAGTCCTTTATCTTAGGTAGGTCCCCTCCCCACTTTGGAGCCTACCCACCCTCCCCTCTAGGAGCCTACATTTTGCAGACATATTTCTTGGGTTTGTCAGTTCCAAGGGAAAATTTTAAAAAAATTAAACTTAGGAGAAAAATCAACCAATCAAAATGTATGAGCCTTATTTGGATCCTGATCCAAGCATTATTTAAAATTATTATAGAACTGGGAATTTGAACACAGATTGGACACAAAATGATATTAAGGAATTATATTTATTAAGTGTGATAATGGTATTGTTATTCATAAAAAAGGAGAACACTTTTAGACAGGCACAATGAAATAATAATGCACAAAGTGGTATTATGGCTGAGATTTGCTGCAAAAACAATCTCTAGGGATGGGAAGGAGGTAATATACATGATATTGGCCATGAGTTAACTATGGATCCTGAGGGATGAGTACATGGGTTTATTATGTGCTCTTCTAATTTTTTCGTGTTTGAAAATTTCTGTAATTAAAATTAAACTATAATAACGTAGACTGTAAGAAAATGAATTGTAATTTTAGAAAGGAACAAAACAGAAAGATGTTAAAAATAAGAAAAAATCCACTTCCCTGACTCATTGCCTGTGCCCCTCCACCCCATGCATTTGGTATCCACAGGCACTGGTAGCAAGGAGGACCGCAGGCTGGGAGTAGAGTGGGTGGGATATCCTGCTTATCCTAGATATCCTTGCATGAATTCCATTCTTTTCAATTGCACTAAATGAGATTTATATTAATGACCGAGGTTTTGTGCACCCCATAAAAATTTGTGCTTGAGTCCCGGCGGGTTTAGGGATGTATCTTGGCAGCAAGGGTCCCCAGAGTAAAAGTGGGAATGCCCAACGGACCCCTTTGAAGAGATCGCCCATCCCAGGATGCAGAAAAGGCCGGGGAACACACAAAAAAGGGCGAGCCGCGGGGCGCAAGCCAGAGCGCGAGCGGTCAGCTCGGGGCGCGGCGGGAGGGTCCCGGGGCCGGGGTGGGGGCGGGACACGGGGTAGGGGCGGGCCCGAGGGCGGGGCCGAGGGCCTCATGTGACCGACCGACGCCGACCTGCGCGCGCCCTGCTGCAGCCGCAGACCCGGCTTGGGCTCGCTGGTTTATCGGTCGCTCCCTGCTCGCGGTGGCCTGAGGGCGTGCGGGCCGGGGGGGCCCCAACAGCGGAAGGCGGAGGGAGAGCAGGTAAGGGGCCCGCCACGGGCGGGGCCCCGGGCGCGAGGTGGGGGAGCGGCCGCGGCCGGCGGACCCCTCCCGGAGCTCCGGCTGCCCCGGGACCCGGCCGAGCCGCGCGGAGACCGCCGCCCCCATGCCCCGCCGCGGCCCCGCGTTGGGCGGGCGGCAGAAGCTGGCAGGCCTTTCCTGGGGGAGGCCCCCACCGTTTGCCGACACCTGTCGTCCCCCCCGCGCAGGCTTCTCCGACGCCCCGCCCCCGTCCCGGTGGTGCAGCAAAGGGGGGTCCGGGCAGGGGCGGCTGGGGGCGCGGGCGGGAGACGCGGGTGGCGGCGGCGTGGGGGCCCGGGGCCGTGCGGGGTCGTGCGGCGTCGAGCGCTCGGCCGCAGCCGCCTGGACCCCCCCCCACCCCCCTCCCCGGCCCTCTGCAGGTCCCGGTGTCGCGGCGGCGCGCTCGTGGCGAGAATCGGGAGGAGGAGACAGCAAGGATAGGCCCAGGTGGGTGCTGGGGACTTGGTGGGGGGCGGGGTGGGAGGCGTGTGCAAAGCCCGAGACCCCAGCACCGCCCCCCCACTCAATTGCGTCCTCCATTTTGGTGCCTGCAGAGGCCTGGGGACTGGATTGGCTTGGAAAATGGTGGGTCTGGGGCGAGGGAGGGGAGGGCAGCGAGAGGGAAGGGGGAGAGCTGGGACTGGGGGGGGGGCGGCTAGAAAGAGGCTAGGAAGCCTCTTAGGTGGGAAAGATGAAATTTTAAAAAGCCTTTGAAGTCCAGGGCGCTGAATCTTGAAAGTTGCTTGGTAGGGCCTCTGTCCTCGGTGCTGATCAGTCCACCAAGAAAATAGTCCCTTCTCTGGTCTTTTGTCTACTAGGAGCAATGGCGTCCAAAGAGGAACAAGTGCAAAAAAATCGCAACATGGAAAGCGCGCGACAGGAAAAGGAAGAAGGGGAGCAGCCCCTTGTGCAGAATGGAGAGGAAGCACAACAAGTGGGAGGGGGTGAAGGCCAGAAGCCTGGAGGAAAACGGGGGCTGATTAGGCGATTGGTCCCTAATTTTCGCTGGGGCATACCTAACAAGCATACTGATCACAATGAAGTGGGAGATGATGTAGAAAAGTTTGTAGGGCAGATGGTGGAAGTCAAGAAAAAGACTAAGGAGCAGCAAATGAGGCATTACATGCGCTTCCAAACTCCTGAACCTGATAATCATTACGACTTTTGCCTTATACCTTGAATCCTAAGGGCTGTCCTGGGATTAATAATGTGGCCTCTGCTCTACAAGCTTGTAGTTTTGTGATTTACATTTTCTGTAAACCTTTGGTGTTTCCACTTAACAATTTCTATTTGATTATTGTTTTTGTCTTAATGTTAAACTTTTTGGCAGCAGGGCTTTTTCACCAAATTTAGGAAAAATATTCTCTTCATAATTGAACTTAATAAAGCAGTTTAAAAAGCGGTCTTCCTTTTTTGTCCCAGTCTTTATTTTTTCTTAATATTACCATTCCTCTCCTAGCTACCTGAACTTAAAATCTCAGTAGTCTTGAACCATTTTTTTCTTGTCCCCAACCAATCAGTAAGGAAGGCTCCTACTCATAATTTAACTTCTAATGTTTTTAGAGTGCATGTTCTGCTGTCTTTCAAAAAGTGTGAGGCCCGCATCGTATAAAAACACAGTGGAAAGTTTTTGAGAATGTAGCGCTTATCCTTAAGACCTAGAGTGGAGCTCCAGAACTGCCTTTTTTAACAAGTTCCCCCAGGTTGTCCTAATGTACTCCTAAATTTGAGGCCTCTATTAGGGGTGGGGAGGAGGTTGTGGGATTGGGTATAATCTGAAATCAGTAGGTGAAAACATTAAAAAGGAAAAAAGTGTAAGTAAAATGCTGAAAAGAGTGATAAGGATAATGACAGATTAAAGTACTCAAGTTTAGAGATGTCAAGGGCCAAGCCAACCCCTGGGTGTGTATTTGGAGGGGGGCACTGGCTAGGGTCATGTTCTTTAGGATTTGGGCATCTAGAGATAAAGGACTCCTAACCCATGATCAAGCTGAGGATGGTCAAAGACAAGACAGGCTGTTTTTCCATATTTCCAAAGGAACCATTTGGTGTTCAAAGAGACAATTATCATCCATTATTACTCTTTTTTAAAAAAAGATTTATAGATAACAAGAATTGGGGTGTAAGCCAGAGGTGCGGAGGTGAGAGCATTCACCAGAGAGTGGGAAGCAGAACAGGCAGTACCTACTGAAACACATTGCTGAGGGGAGCAGCGGGCAATATAGGAGAGGTCTGCTGCACCATGTGGGCCACCTCCCTGGCTGGCTGGGGATCAACTCAGTGCTGCAGTGGCTGGAGATAGCTTGATAGCACTATGTCTTTAACCAGGGAGGCCCCCATTATTACTCTTAAAAGCAGTTTTGTAAGTCACAAAAGCAATTTTTTAAAATAGAAAAAAAAATCAGTCCACCACTCATGAGTAGTGATAAAAATTGTTTAGAAAAACTTGTTTTAGTTTATAATTAAGAAGTATCGTCACCTCAAAATGTATTTATCTGTAGGTAATGGTAAAAAATGAGTCAATTCTTCATTCTAAACTTCATTTCACAAAAAGTGGTTTTTCCAAAGTCGCAGCCAATTGGTAGAGCTGGAACCACAACTCCCAGCTCAGGGTTGTCTCCTCACCACAGTGCCTCCACCAGGCATTATTTGTAAAATATTACAGTATTTACAGATGGTCTGTGGTGTATCTGAACAAGCACATACAACTTAAAGTCACTGTTTGATGTTCATACTTTAATCATCAGAGTCTCCTAGTGTTCAATTGATAAAGTTTAAGAACTCTATTCCCCTTACTATGTTTTGGAGCTGGAATGATGACCTATATTAATTGTAGGGGAAGGGGACAATGGAGAATTTCAATTTAAAGTGGTGAATTCAGGCACTTAACAAAGGTTAGTTGATTGATGTTCATGAATGGCCTTTGATCCTTCAAAACCAATACCGTACCTCTATACCAGTCCTAGATCTTCCAAGTTAGCCTCAAAAAAAATCAGGGTTGGAGATGAGATCAAAACTTGATTGGTACAAGAACTGAAGGACACTTCCTCATTAGGGGTTTTTTGGGGGCACAGCACAGGGTGAGGGAGTGGAAGAGGCCAGACTTTCTGGAAGGAGTGTCAATGTTGGGGTTCAGAATATGTTTTTTAAAGAACTGCAATTTCCTGCCCTTGGTGTTTCTGAAGGAGTGGAATGATGAGGTCAGAACTTTCTGGAAGTGGTAACGATCAGAGAACAAAGTCACAATGTGATTGGTGGAAGGAGAGTTAACACCCCTCCCTTGAGAGTTCTGTCATGTTGGAAAATGACTACAGAATTTTTTAGAAGCAACAGTAAAGTTCAAGGACCATCATCAAACCATGATTGGAGGCAAACTGAAAGAAGTGTCCTTTTCTGGGTGTTTCTGCAAGGGTAGAGCGAGGACAGAACTTTCTGGAAAAAGTAGAGGTCAGGAGACTGAGTAAGAGGGTGATTAAAAGAGAACTAAGTTACCACAGGATACACTTCCAATAATTTATACATATGAGGGTCAACTTTTCCTGATCTTGGTGGGCAGTACATTCCAACTTTTTAAGGGGTTGATGGAGAGAGTGGGAGGGTTCTTAAATAGGCCAGCACAGAAATAAGATGAATCTCTTATGAAAACAGAAGAAAAGTGGATAAACCAAAAACAACAAAGGGGACTAATATTCCTATCAGTCATTTATATATTCATTTGTAAATGTGTAGGAAATACATGTGTTTTTATAGATTTTGAGGTATGACATGAGGTAGAAGCCTGGTGAATAACAGGGAGAACAATAAGGTGATCTGAGAACAGTAAGGTGATCTCTGAGGGCAATCAGCCTTTCAGCAGCACATGCTGTTGTCTTCAAATTACAGAAAATGGACATATTATTGAGGAAGTCCTTAAATATACCAGCAAGGAAAAAAGTGAATTTACAATGAAAAAAAGCAAAAGCAAAAACCAAATATGAGAATAAACACCAGAAAAGTTTATCATTTTCAGTCTATATTTACACAGGTACTTATTTATGCTTCATTAAGGTATAAAGTTTTAAATGTATTCAATTTGATCTGTTTTACATGTATTTAAACATTGGAGGCCATGGCCACAATGAAAATAGCAAACCTCCAAACATTGCCTCCAAACATCTCTTTTCCCATTTGTAATCCATCCCTCCTTCTACCCCATACTGAGGCAACCTCTGATCTGCTTTCTGTCACTACAGTGGCACTGTATATTATTTTTTGTACAAAGTGACTCAGAATATTACCTTTTTCTGGTTTGGTTTGATGTATTTTTTTTTAAATTATTTATTTTATACAAGAACTGGGGTACAGGTCAGAAGTGCGGGAGGGTGAGAGAATTCACCAGAGCCAGAGCGGGGAGCAGAACAGGCAGACAGAGCGAAGACACTGCTGGGGGGAGCAACGGGTGAGGCAGGAGAGGTCTGCTGCGCCATGTGGGGTTCTCCCTGGCTGGCAGGGAATCAAACCACCGCTGCAGAGGCTTTGGACAGCTTCGCAGCGCGGTGGTCAACCGCTGCGCCGCCAGGGAGGCCCTGGTTTGATGTATTAAACAGCATATAATAACAGTATATTCCTTTCTCTTTCTAAGTAGTATTCCATGATGTGGTGAATGTTTATGCATTCATCTGTTGACAAATTTATGTACTTTCCAATGTTGGGATATTATAAATAATATAAATACTAACAAATATAAATAATATAAATATACATATAAGTATGAACATGCACATACATATTTTTTAGTAGACATGTGTTTTAATTTTTCTTGGGTAATTACCTAGAAGTGGAATGGCTACGTTGTATGGAAGTTGTAATTTTGAAGAGCCGGCCAGACTATGTTCCACCGTGGTTTCATCATTTCACATTCGCATCAGTAGAGTATCAAGACTTCCAATTTTTCCTTATGCTCACCAACACAGTATGATCAGGGGGTTTTGTTAATATTTTTATTTATTTATTTTTTAAGATTTATTTATTTATTTATTTATTTATTTATTTATTATTTATTTATTTATTTATTTATACAAGCACTGGGTACAGTCAGAAGTGCGGGAGGGTGAGAGAATTCACCAGAGCCAGAGCGGGGAGCAGAGCAGGCTGAAGGACCGAAGTACACTGCTGAGGGGAGCAGCGGGCGGCAGGAGAGGTCTGCGCACCATGTGGGACCCTCCTCAGGTGGCCGGGGAGCAGCCGGGGATCGAACCGGAGCTGAAGAGGCTGCGGGCAGCTTCGCAGCTCAGCGCTCAACCGCTGCGCCACCGGGGAGGCCCTTTTGTGAATATTTTTAAATTTCAACCATGCTAAAGGGCATATAACGGTATTTTGTGGGTTTAATTTTCATTTCTCTGTTGACTAATGATGTCCAGCATCTTTTCATGTACTCATTAGTCATGCATATATCTTCTTTTGTGAAATAAATTGTTCAAATATTTTGCTCATTGTTTAAGTTTGGTCATTTGTCCTCTTACAACTGAGTTGCAAGAGTTCATTATAAATTCTGCATTCAATTTCTTTGATTTATATGTTATAAATTTTTCTCACAGTCTTGGCATGCCTTTCCATTTACCTAATGGTTTCTTTCAAAGAACAAATGTTTTAAATTTTCATGAAGTCCATTTAATCTGCCTTTTTATAATTGTGTTTAAGAAATTTGTTTACTAAATATGCTACCTTGGGGCCTCCCGGGTGTTGCAGGGGTTAAAGACAGCGCTATCAAACTATTTCCAGTCACTGTAGCACAAGTTTGATTCCCCTCCCCAGCCAGGGAGGAGACTCACATGCTGCAGCAGACCTCTTCTGTCTCACCTGCTGCTCCCCTCAGCAGTGTATTTCAGTAGATCCGCCTATTCTGCTCCCTACTCTGTCTTTGGTGAATACTCTTACCCCTCCCCTCGCCCCACCTGTGGTCTACACCCCAGCTCTTAGATACATAAATAAATCAATCTTAAAAATAGAAGAAACATACTACATAATCCAAGGTTGTGGAGATTTCCTCCTACATTTTCTTCTAGGAGTAGTACAGTTTCAGACTTTTCCTTTGGTCTGTGAACCATTTCATGTTGATTTTTTAATTAACCATTTTTTAATTTTTAAAATTATTTTAATTTTTCATTTACCATTTCATGGTACAGTGAGAAATAAACTCTGGCCTTTATTTTGTTCCATGTTGATATCCTATTAATACAGCACCATTTATTGTAAAGACTTTCCTTTATTTTATAGCCTTTGTACTTTGTCAAAAATCAAGTGCTCATGTATGTGTAGGTCTAGTACTATACTTTCTATTCTGTTCCTGTGATCTATAAGTCTCTATTTTCACCAGTATCAAAATGGCCTGATTGCTATAGCCTTTATAGTATGTCTCGAAAATC